TAGTGACTATGTCCAAGACAGAATGAGACTGGATACACCGTGGCAACTGAAAAATAGAGAGGATTCCCAAAAATCTGTGCTTGGTCTGGAATTCCTTACTGTTTAACTGAGCCATTACAGCTCTCAAGCCCTTGCAATAAGAAGGGGATGCCATTTACTGAAAATCAGAGAGCTTGCAGCTGTGTCAAGTATTCCAAGGAGAGATGGATGCAATTAAAAGTCAAAGTGATAAGCTTTTTTTCTTGAGGCAAAAGCCAAATGAAAGCCGCCCTGCACAATGATTTATTCTTTATGTTTATTAAGTCACCTGAAGAATTGGGCTGGAAGTTTATGAGAGCTTATAAACAATGTACAGAGCAATGTTATTTTCAGCACTGGAATTCATGCTCACTTGCAGTATAATGAATTTTTCTTTCTGCTGAAGATTCAGGCACTCAATATATGCTACTAAAACCTGGAGGAAAGCAGTTCCAACAGTGTTTTTGGCATCAGAAATATGCTTAGAGAGTTGCAATGTGCAGAATGTGAAATGCTTTGGAGGAAGATTAGAAATTGTTAACCAAAAATTGTAGTATTTCCTTGAGCTGTATTTTTAAATTACCCATGGAGAGTGCTGGGTTGCCTGAGAAAATGTGTTTTAGAGCTGCCTCATCCCTTTGCAGCCCAGTGCCTGCATCCACTCCTACCTGCAGAGCTCCAGGTGTTTCTGGTAGCTCTGGTGACCTGATGGCCATCTGGGGGGGATGCTTGTGGGAAGGGCTGGGAACAGTGTGGTTTGAGAGAGATTTTACACTAAAGGTGTATCTGGGTATGACTGGGGTGGAAAACCTTGCTGCAGGGAGAGCCTGTCCCCACTGGTCAGGACTGAGTCTCGCCACCTTCCCTGGGAGGTCTCTGCCATAACTGAGTTTCTTTGATCCTGTTCTGCTTTACTGATGACAAATATAGGTCAGCATCGTGGGATAAGATATCTCTTTTTGGTAAGTTAACTGGCTGGTTGGTCCTGCAGGGCTGTGTCACGTGAATGAATTGATTGTGGGTCTTTCCACCACATTTGACTTTTAATGCTGTGTATCTTGCAGTTCCTTTACTTGTTCAAAGGTTTTTCACAGTAATCACCTGGGAGTAGTCACTAGCCTGCCCACGCTGGTCAATAAATCAGGGGAGAAAAGGAGTTATCCAGTTTCTCCTTTTCTTTTTTAAACCTGTTTCTCAACAAACAGATAACTCCCAGGTTTGCAATGGGCAAGTCCCAGTTTCCTTACAATGCTCTCTGTTTTGCCACACTATTTTTAAAGGTAGCGGAAGGAGGGAAAGAAGAAAATCAGGATCTTTCCCAGGTTAGAAAATAGGTGTGGAAAGCACCTAGCTTGAGGCTGAAATTAGTCTTGTTTTGCTCAGCTGGCAGTGGCCCAACCCAACTGCCCTTGTGCCAGGTTCTGCTGCAGTTGTCTTACGTGGCACTGAGCTGGCCTGAGGGACTGTCACACTGATGCCAGGGTCACACAGAAGTGGACAAGCTTGGGGATGGGCTTATTTTTTTTCCTCTTCCTTTCCAGGAGTAATGGAGTTCAGCCTGCCAGCAAACACCAGGGATCAGCTGTGACCAAAGGTATGGGCAGAGGGAGAGGCAGGGACTTAGCCCTGCTTGGCCAGCCTGTCCTTTGGAGGTTATGTCCCAGCTGCAGGGCTGGGACAGAGGGTTCTTTTTTGGGGCTGAGCATGTGGGGACTTGAAATAGTGGGCTCTGCCCTCTCCTTTCTCCTGGCTCTCTTTTTCCTGCCAAGCTGTTTGTGCAGAGCAGAGAGGATGCTGGCAAAGCAGTCCCCCATCACAGGGAGGCAGGAATGGCCCAGAGCTCCTGCAGAGCATGGGAACATCACAGCTTTAAGATTTCCTCATGGTCCTTTCAAGTCCCTTTGCCTTCTGGGACTACAGCAATAATCTGTCTGCTCTCTGTCTCTGCAGAGCAAGTAAAGGAAGCGTCAATGTCGAGCATCAGGGGAGCTGCCGAGTCCCCAGGACTGCCAGAGCTGCCTTCATCCCCTTCTGCAGCACACAGGGCCCATCCTTGCTCAGGTGGAGGGCAAAAGGGACTCAGTGGTGCCTTCCCAGGTCTGCCCCGTGCGTGTTGCTGCAGTTCCTGCTGCCTCGCTGTGTCTTAACGTGCTTCCCAATAAAGATAACTCCTCAGTTTCATGTCACTTTTCTTCACTCAGCCTCAGGGCAGGGACACATGAGTCCCTGCTCTGGCTTTGCACCACGTGCTCCTTAGGCAATGAGCAGCCTGAGGTGCACCAGCTGCTGTAAATGCCTGGTGAAGATGTGGGACCCAAGGAGGAAGAGTATGGTCTGGGGTTTTGTGAGGAGGGGTCAGGTTCTCTCTGGCTCATTATGGGGTCTTGGGTCAATCACTTCACTGCCCTATCAGCCCTTTTCTCCTGCCTGTAAAACGAACATTAAATGATATTTACCTACCTCAGAGGGTTGTTTGACATTTGTTTGGTTTACATTTGGAAACCTACAGAGAAAAAAATTGGTTTTAAACCACCCCATATCTTGGGCTGGCAGTTTAGATGATGCACGAAATGTCCTCTTCTAGGCTTCTCATGTGAGGTGCTGGGAAATCCAGACCACAGCTTGGAGAAATGCTGGGAAGTAGATACATGTTGAGTGGTCATGTTAGGAGATGTGCTGAGCCCAGAAAGGTCTCTGGGATCCGCAGGAGTGAGTTTGGCTGGCATTTCTTGCTGTGAGAAGGCAGAAGCACTGGTGGCACCCTCAAGGCAGTGCAGGAAGCTCAGCCATTGTGGTGGCCCATGGACCACCTGCTGCTGGGTCACCCTCTGCTTTGGCTTGAACTTCCCTGTAGGCTCAAGTCAGTTCCTGTCTCAGGAGCCATCTCCTGCAAGGAGAGAAGGATCCTCCCTTTGGGGCTCTGGTGTTGGGGCAGGTGGAGAAGTTCCATGGTATGGAACACTGTAATTTTTTTAAGGAGAAGTATTGTTGCCTTGAGATGTAACTGGCCTACAGATGGTTCTAACTCATTCATCTTCTGAAACTGTGTTCACAAGAAGCCAGGCCTCTGAGCCAAGGGTTTCCCTGGGTTCCCAAGGTTTTTTGGGGTCAGTGGATCTGGGCCTGGGATGGGGTTTGCAGAACAGGAGGCACTGATGGCAAGTTACTAGAAATCTGCTGGTAGTTTGCACGTACTTCTGTACTCTCTTCTATAGCTGTTACTTAAAGCAAATAGGTTCTTTATTTGTATAAACTGTATTGCAGGACCTTTCCGGAAGACCTTGAATGAACATTTGCAGTGTTTGAGTCCATTTTAGCTGTGACCTGATCTGTAAACACTTTTCTCTTGCAGATAAGGTTGAAGTGATTTTCAGATTTTGACAGGATTTTACCTAATACCAATTAATTTCACTCCCACCAAAGACGTAGAATTCTTTCAAATAAGTTATCAACTCCTCTATTTCTACTGCAGCTAATGAGAATTGATTTTAAACTCCTAAATGCTTACGCATGCATCATGTTTTATTGCAGCTGATAATAATAAAAATTGATTTTATTATCAGCACACTGCCATAAGTGGTTGTTAATAGTTCATATGCTTATTTTTAACATGAGCAAACACTATGATTTAGAAACAAATTATGACTGCCTCTTTCTACGTGGAAAATCCCCTCACTAAGTAGAGTCATGTGGGGTGAGAGTCACCAGTTTGGGGCTGGTTAGCTGTTTTGGGGAATGCAGATTTTGTCTTTGAGCAGAGATGAAACAAGTACATTCCTGAATGTTGTTTATGCAGCCTGAGATGAATGTCAGACAGTAAAAATGTTCTCTGATGATGTCTGCTCACTGATTCCAGCTAACATCATGTGCAGGGACATGATTTCACAAAGGCAGTGCACAATTTGTGGCTTAAAATAAATTCTTGCAAATGAAAATCAGTGCACTTGAAAGCTGCTATGATTTGTAGTGATTTCAGGTATTTAAGTTTTCAAATAATGACCCCTAAAACCTTCATTAACTATGCTTGAAAAGCAATAAACTGATGAAGACTGCCCCAGTAGCCTCTTCTGTCAGTATTTGAGCACCTTCTAAATTTCTCCTGCTGCCAGCAGAAATTACCATCCACAAAAATCGCAGCTGGTGATAAGGGATCGTTAATCAGATTCCAAGCCCATCTGCTGAGGAGGCACAGGACAGGGACTTGCTAAAGCTGCCTGTGCTGCTGTTAGCAGCAGGGCTGGCTCCATCCTGCTCCCAGCAGTCTGCATGCTGCTCTCCTCTTTCTTTCAACCCCCTTTTGCAGGTTGTTCCTAGGGCTGGCCGATGAGGAATGTCCCTGGTGGCGCAGCAGAGCTCTGGAGGGACACCACACATTTTTACTCCTGGGGGAGAGCAGGCAAAGGCTCGTGAGGTGCTGGAGGTTTACCACTTTTTCTTTTATGTTTGCTCTTGGTTGCCCTTTGTGTTGCCCTTTAAAAAGGCAACAAGGCCACGCCAGTCCTCTATGAAACTGGAAAGGTACCAGCGCTCTGGAGACTCTTCGGTTTGCTGTAAATTACACTTTATTAAGGGTGTTGCTTGCCAATAACCACAGACCCCATGTGGTTCACAGCAGTTCCTGAGGTTTTGCAGAACGGGCATTATGAGCTGACACTTTGGTCTCCAGCCTCTCAGGGCTATTGGGCTCTGAGCTAAACTGCCCTCTGCCGGGACCTTAAGCGTCTCAGGGTTTTCTTCCTTTTTTCATAGAAGGTGTCAGGAACTTATGCAAGTCTTCAGGGCATATAAGTGCTGCTCTTGGTAGAGAGTGAGGTCTGTTGACTCTGGCAGATGCCTCAGCAGACCTTGAACTCCCTGTGGTGTTTTTCAATCCTCTGTCCATTTGGAGCCTGGGAGCTCTGCCCAGCAACTCCCTGCTGCTCTTCAGCCACAGCGAGGGAGAGCCCTGGCGTGGCCTCTCGGGGTGCTCTGCCCAGGCCACCTTCTGCAGGCTGCCACAGCAGGCAGTGCTGGAAATCTCTCAGTTTAGGGGCATTTGTTCCTTTAAGAACTTGGTGAATTGTGACATGGAGAGCTTGATGCTGTTTGTGTAGGGAAGCCCCTGTGGCTCTACTGCAGAGCTCTCTTTTCTGACTCTCCCTACATCCCTGCGATGCTCAGTCCCACCACACAGCTTCTGCTATGGGTACCTGGGGATTTCAATGTTATTTGTCTTGATTATCACAATTTATGCTCCATGGCCCATCTGCTTTCACCTTGGGGACTCATGAATGGGCTTCTCTCTTTCCTCTCTTCAGGGCTTCTGTTTGGCAGCTGTTAGAACATCTGTCTTTCCCTGCAAGGCTCTCCCTACTACAGGGAGCTCTTCTCCAGGCAATTTCCCTGGGATCTCACTGCTCTATTCTGCTGCAAGATCTCTCCTGCTGCCCACCTCTTCTCCTGGAAGAAGTTTTGCAACACAAAAACTTCCAGTGCTTTCCTCTGGCATAAAGGTATGAGAAATTCTGCTCAAGTTGTTCATCAAAAGCAAGATGTGACTGTTTGCAAATTAGAAATCCCTTGATGCAGGAGGTCCCAAAAGAAATATCTTTGTGCTGGGCGTGGTAACAACCATCCCTGTGGTTTGAGGGTGGGAAGCACAGACAATTTCTGAATATATTTCTGAAAAACAGATGAGTTGTCTTTGTTGCCTTCTTGCCTCAAAGGGGTTGCTTCCTTTCTCGGCCTGTGTCAGTGAGATTCTGCAGAGATGGAGACAGATGATTCACATGGCCAGAGGTAACCTGGAGAGGCAGCAGAAGAAGGGGGTGGAGTGCTCATGTCCAGAGCTGCTCAGCCAGGTGGGATTAGCAACAAAGGAAAATAAACAGATAGATGTCAACACAGCATCGCTGCAAGTGGGAGTTGCACAAGCAGAAGGGTGTAAACACAGCCAAAGGTCTCCCTGTCCAGTGTGGGTGGAATGTGCTGCACCTGCCTCCTCTGCTCCTGAAAGGCTCTGTTCTGAGGGACAAGTTCCTAGTTCCTGGTGGGAAAAGCTCTGCTGAATCACTCTCTGTGAAGCAGGCAGCTCGCTGGGAGAGTCAGAGCATGGATCTTTCTCTTGCACAGGGCAGGAGCGCAAAGCTGAGCTCTGTGTGCCTTGGCTGACACAGGGGACAGCAGACACGTGCTGTAACTGCAGGGTTTTCTAAATCTGAGCTCCTTCTCTAGATCCTTGACAGGTGTTTGCTCTCCTGTCCCTTTACTCTTTCTCCTATTGCAAACTACTTCCCAAATTTAATAGCTTGGTTGGAAGAGAATTACTTTGCTCTTGACAGAACATGCTGAGTCAATCCACTTTAACTGCAGATTTGGTTTGCAAATAATATCTCCTTTCCGATAGGGTTCAGGTGTCATCGCTGTGGACATTGGCAGGAATTTGCTTGACCATGACAGCTTTTACAGAGCCTGGCAATTAAGTTGTCAGGAATCATTTTCCACTGCCAGGAGGCATTAATGGATCCTGGCCTTGGCTGGAATAAGCCCTGGGAGATGGATATTGTAATCGGGATGAGAAGGGGTCCTTGTAGCTGAGGTCTGCATCCAGCCAGAGGTCTGGAGTCCTGGATACTTGGTGGAACTGAGATAAGGGGAAGGTCAGGAAACACAGGGCCAGAACATCAGGGGGAAGGAATGAAAATGAGGAGTTTGAACAAGGACACGATCCCTCGTGTCCCTAATGTAGCAGGAAACGTTGGCGTTTGGAGAGGCTTTAGTTTTGCAGATGCACACTGCAAAGTACTAATATTAGCAGAACTCCTGGATATGAAAGCAAATATTTTTCCACTAGGTAATCCCTAAAATTGTGTTGTTGTGGATTTGCTTTTCAAGTGGGAAAAATGTTGGAAATGTCCTTCTCTTAGAAAATAAAACTGTGATGATTCAACACAAGCTCGCTCTGTTTAAATTATGTCAAAAATAGATCTGCAAGCAAGGATTTTGATTACCAAATACAGAATTTGAAAAATGAAGTTAGTGAGAGATTTGGAGGATTTAGGATCCCAACTGAGAAGTCTACAATTGAGATTAATCGAAAGAATTGCCAAAAATTTCCTTACATAGAGGACAGAAATGTGCTCAGGGCCAATCTTAAGTTCCATTACCTGAATAGTGGGCAAACCTTAAGGAGATGTTTGAAGAAAACTAAAGACATAAAGCATAAAGAGATAATGTACACAGTGAATTTTCAGGAAGCAAACCATGCGTGGGCTAATACCAATCTTTGCAAAGTTGGCTGACTTCCTAGGTAAAGGAAGTACAGTACATCTAGTCTGTGCAGACATTAAAGGCATCTGGCCTGCTGCCCTGGGGGATGGTGTCACTTAGGCTCAGTAAGGTGGGTCAGGGACTGGCCATGTTGGGGGTGGGAGCAGATGAGCAGAAGGTGCCATGGGAGTTATCAGTGAACAACCAAAAAGATGGATTTTTAGGACCAAACTTAGTGTTTTTGCTCCTTGCCGTGTTACAGGAAAAGTTGGCACGAACAGCAGAGCACTGCTGAGTTTTTTAAAGAGGAGAAGAGCAGGATTCCTCCTGCAGAGCACAGGGTGACCTTCTGGGCTCAAATTGGCCTGAAATACAATGGGGAAGAGTGCAAAATCATGTTCTGTAGTTAAATAACGGGGGGTTTGGCTATCAGTTGGCAGCTCAGTTGAAAACTGTGGATGAGGGGAAAGTGCTAATTGCATTTAGGTAGGCACAGGGGAGATGTGAGCCCACGATGTGCTGCAGCCATGCGCGGGGCAGCCCAGAGCTGGGCAGAGTGTGCGGGACAAGGGGGGGTCCTGGCACGGTTCCCACCCACCTCAAGCCACACAAAATCCCCTTCCTGGCACACACACTTGTATCAATCATTAGCCAGATACCCAGAGCTGGGTAAACACGTTTTTGGCTTTGAGTGGTGATGACAGGCGGGGAGCGTTGCCTAATGAGGTGGGACCACTTGGTAGCGTGGTGTGCTATATATTCCTGCTCCTCCCTGCAATCTTCCTCTCCCGCACAGAGAGCAGGCAGGCTGCACTCGAGGGGTGTCCCTGGCTGCCATGAAGGTGACAGGAGTTTTGGTGAGGGCAGCTATTGCCCTTTGCTGCTGCTTGGGTGAGTGTTCACTGGGGTAGTGCAAAGATCGATCTGGCTGAGTCAGAGTTGAGTTTTTATTTCAGTAAAAGCCTTTGGGTCTTGCAACATGGAGGAGAGCCTTGTTCCATGAAGAAATTGCCTTCCTGAGAGAGCACAACAAAGAAATTAGGTTTCAAGACTGAGGTTTCAGCAAACATCATACAGCTGTTATCCTCTTGGTTTGTAGGAGCAGTTCTCGTGCAGGGTAGGGGCTTGCACATGGCAGTCCTGAGTATAAAGGCAAAATAAAGCTGTAGAAAATGGCCTTATTACCTATGTGAGCAATAGAAATGCAAGCTTTAACCTCTGGGATTGCACTGGGAGTTTGCTGTGTTACTCCTGGTAACTGAGAATGTTGGATTTGGAGGTGGACAGTGATGGTGGCAATAATTATCTTAAACATGCATGTCCGAACTTTTGAAAGTCAAACATAAAAGTCTCTTAGAAGAGGCTAAAATCCAAGAGTATAGAATTGAATGTACCTGTATCACCTGTAACATTTTAGGGGTAGATAATTACATGTGCTCTCACAAGGTTTATCTCCCCTCAGAAGGACAATGAAATTTTATTTAGTAACTTTTAATACATCCTACTGCCATTTATTGGAATAATGTAAAACTCAACATTTTCCTAAACAAAATAAATTAGTGTTGACTAATCACTGAATTAACTCATGTCATGAAAATATTTACATATGTAAATATCTTTGCATGTTAATAATTTGTTGGTGTTTTTTTTCCTGTCTCCTTTTTTTTCTTTCAGGTACTGCTTTTGGAGTTCAGGTGAGCTACAGATCTATTTATTATGTTCTTTTCAGGCTTCTGGTAAAGTAGAAACAGTATGTAGCTACCCAATGAGCACATGGGTTAAATCTAATGAAATCTTTGCTGTTAAAATAATATTTGCCAGTGCATGGTTGAACAACATTTCCAATTTCATGAGAAAATAAAAGATCCCCATTTTTTGCAATATTTTCGGTTCATTAAATAAAATGAAAAAACAAGAAGTAATTGTACACCCTTATTATATTAACTCTTAGACATAATTTAGTTACACCCAGCCAAAGGCAGTAGTTTGCCTCCTCGTGAGGAAAACTGTCTTAGGATGACACGCTCGAAAACATCAAACACTGTGACTCTGATAATTGCTTCCATACAGCAAGGCACAAAGAATTCCTTGCATAAATTTCTCTACCTATATCACAGAGAGAAAACCAGCAGGGCCTGAGCCGTGGATTTGTCTGCAGGTTCCTCCCACGCAGCTCCGAGCCTCCGGAACTCTCCAGAGTGCAGCACGATCTGGAAGGATCCGCTGCGGAGCCGAGGGGCTCCCAATTACCACTGCCTTCATTAGGCACTGTCTCACCCACAGCCATCCTGCCTCCCTGGACCCCAGCAGAAGTGCATAATCAGAAACTCCTGTAGGGAAGATTCCTGACTGCCTGAGCAGATTCCCAATAATGCCTCTAATTTACCTCCCAGCAGCAGCGGCGGGCGCGGCGGCGGTGGGAGGATGCTGGGGGGTTTCACTCCGTGGGGGAGCCAAAATTGAGACTGATTCTGGGCTGCTTCCACAGCTTGACTGCAGCCAGTACACCCGTGGCAAGGATGGGAATCCCGGGGTTGCTTGCCCAAGGCACTTGAAACCGGTGTGTGGCACGGATGGCAACACGTACAGCAACGAATGCGGGATCTGCTTCCACAATGTGTGAGTCTTGCTGGGGACCCCACAGAGGCCTCGGGACAGGGGGTTCCAGGCAGAGGTGGCAGCTTTGCTCCCCAGGGACGAGGAGCATGTGCCTTTGCAGCTGGGTGACAACACCACCAGCCTTGAGGTGATGCTCTCTTGGTCACTGAGACAGGTCTGCTTTCTTCCAGGGAACATGGTGCCAGTGTGGAGAAGGAACACGATGGAGAATGTGACCCAAAACCTATCGTGGTAAGACAGAGTCTGTAATGGGGACAACTCAAACACCATGCAGAAGTGTGGGACAGAAAGTGCACAGCTGGTGTACACAGCCCAAAATAAAATCGGTTATCTGATACCATCTCTCTGTTATTTTCTACTTCAGACTTCAAACCTTTCTAATTGGGAATAAAATAAAAATAATACATTGGCTGAAGGTTGGATCTGACCACTTGGATGCCTTCAGCAGGATCCTATGAAGGACCTCACAAAACCCAAATCACAGTCTTTCTTACTATCCCTTCTTTTTTTCTTTGGAGAGAATTCCCACAGAATTTTTGGTTTCTACTTGTGCTAATGAAATTGGTTTGATGCTGGATTTGTCCCCAAAGGCTGAGGGAGAGTGAGAAGACTGTGTAAGAGTGTTATATCTTTATGTCAAAAAAATGCTTTCTTTTTTCTCTGTTCCTGCTATTTTTACAGGTTGATTGCAGTAATTACCGTAGAGCTGTAGTAGATGATCAGGTCATCGTTGCGTGCCCAAGGATAATGAAACCAGTCTGTGGCTCAGACAGCTTCACTTATGACAATGACTGCGGGATCTGTGCCTACAATGCGTAAGTCCTGTGCATGGAATGTCCTTCTGGATAATCAGCAAGTTGAGGCTCCCAGAGGCTTCTGTAAAATACCAGTTTTAAGGCAGGTGTCTCTGTATGTCTCCTTGCTACTGCCTTCTCGTGATTCTTCAGCCAACCTGAGTGGCTTCCCCATTTTTTTGGCCAGAACCAGAGAAGAGACATGAGCAGATCAAAGTGTTGCTTGTAACACCTAATTACTCCTAACACTTAATTCCCATGGGAATAGTGTACATTAGCAGTTGCCATCTGCAGGGCACATTCAGAGAATTCAGGCAGTTGTGGTGTCCCAGGGGGAGGGTGGGACCCTGCTTTGTTGTCCCAGTGCCTGCAGTGTCATGGGGAAAGTTATCCTCAATGTTCCCTAACCAAAGCTTTTCTTCCTTTCAGAGAGC